CTCTATGAGTGTGAGGCCACCCTGGTCTACAGAGTGAGTTCCAGGACAGCCAAGGCTACACAGAAAAACCATCTCAAAAAAACAAAAGAAAAAACAAAGTGCCTTTTGGGGGAGGGGTGTAGGAGAGATGTCCGTGTGTGTGCAGGTCAGGACAGCTTGTGGGAGTCTCTCCTTCCACCCTGTGGTCCCAAGGACTGCATTCCGGTAGTATGGTTTGGAGGCAAGAGTCTAAGTGCTCAACCCGCAACCCTTCCATTTCTGCAGGACTCACTCAGACTGTGTGCTGGCTATCCTGCTACCAGGTGTTCACCAGAACCAGTGTCAACATCCAAATTGCCACCACAGCAAGTGGGGCACCATTGTCACCCCACACGTGCTCACAAATCAAGGCCCCTTAGGGAAAGCAAGGTGCCCAAAGAAAGCAGCTACCTCAGGCTCCAGCCCCGCTCCCACGTGACGACAGTAAAACCCAAGTTTGTTCCGCCCCATGGTGGGGACACGTAAGGCTGGCTGCTCAGCTCTGTTTCATTTAATCCTTTAATCAAGGGCATAACTAGTCCATCTCAAATATCCATCCCGAAGAAGAAATACCAGGCTGGGGAGAGTCAAGGGGGAGGTTGCCAGCAGTGGGCTACCTTGGGGCGCGCTCTGCCTTTGGGATGATTGAGCTCCTGTGCTCCCCACAAAATGCGCAAGAGAGTTCTTCCCCTCGACCAAGTGAGCAAACAGGGCCACATACAAGCCACTCTGGGCCCCCAAAACCAGACTCTTTAGCACAAGGCTCCCTCCCTTGCTGCCTGGTAGGAGAGCACACACCACACAGCAAAATATCTACTACCTGGAAGAGTACCTCAAAATGCACCGACTTCCTACAGCCTGTGGAAGGCAGGTCACACAGCCTGGCCACAGAGAATACTGTATACCCACTCCTGCCTGCACCATCCCTGCCCCAACTCTAAACACACAACTATCTATGAAACAAATCTGATACACTCCAAATCTACTTGTGACATTAAAAAAAAGAAAGTGTTTACTAAATGCCAGAATCATAAAAGGAGGGAAGAATGGGCACACAGAAGAAGGCCTACATGACCAAAAAAAAAAAAAAAAAAAAAAAAAAAAACACCTTAGCACACTAGCATTCATGTACATAAATCGGGGACCCTAGGGACTAGAGGGTTTAATTCTCAAGGAAAAGACTCCAGCACCTGGAGGCAACACTTAGCTGGGAAATGACCACAGAGTTGATCTCAGATGCATTTTGCTGAAACAAATTCCAAGTTCACAGGAGGGATGCTCAGACACTCCAGAGGGGGGGGAAAAGCCATGAACAGAAACGAAGGCAGTGTCTGTTCACCCAACCAGATTCCTGGAGACATTGCAGCCGAGCAGCAGGGGAGACAATGCAAGCGGCAGTCCTGGAGGAACAAGGCTAGAGAATAAAGAAGGCTACCCGGTCCCTTGTGTCCGAACCCCTGCACAGTAAACCAAGAACGGACTTTTCAGATTAGACCCACCATTCTGAAACCATGGGCCCATTTGTTTGGTTTTTGTTTTGTTTTTAACGGTGAGATGAAATGAAAGATGGGGTGCTTTTCTGTACTTCCTTGGCGCAGTGGAAACAAAGGCTACAGACAAAAGACAAACACGTCGAGCAGGTGATCAAATTTAGCCAAACAACGAATGGCAAGATGGATTCTTGTCCTCCCCAATGGGGACACTTGTACAAAAACCTGGGCTGGCTAGAGATTCCAAACTATAACACACGGTGGGCAGCCACCAGGAGTCCAGAAAGATCCCACCGATGGGGAAGTGTAAATGAGGAATGAGAATCGGTGTGGGCAGGCAGGGCTCTTCCCCAAGAAGGTACCGCCTCCATTTCCCAAGGTACCCCCCTCCCCATGACCCCTCCCACAGAAGCTGGAGAGCTTCCTCTTTGTTGACAAGCATTCTGGTTCCAAAGGATCCAAAGTCTCCTAGGCACATTAAACCTGGCCTATGCCAGGCGTGCTGTTGCTTCTGCAAGGGTTTAATCAGTAACTGGCCTAGTAGACAGCACAGGGCAAGCTCTGACCTGACCCCACCAAGGGCAAAGTTTACAGCCAGGTCAGGAGAGGGATGTCAGGACCCCTGGTACCAAACTCCAGTTTGGGTCTCCCTCCCCAGGGAACCAAGAAATTTCCACACTCAGTTTGTCACCAGTTGGAGACCCATGCCAGCAGGGTCTAGGAGACCCCAGAAATTTGGCTTGCACCCCAGGCCAGTACAGCTGGGGTCCAAGCCTCTAGTATCCCTCATGATTCAGGTAACTGAATCAGTATAGACAGCGACTCAGTGAATGGTTTGGGCAAAGGAGTGCTTTGTTTGTTGACTGGTTTCAATCCAGATCAGTCACTCTGGGTCCTGAAGTCCACACAATTAACCGGATAATCCTCAGACAGATCTGAACTGGGCCTCATATGAACAATATATACTTCACCCCTCTGTGAGACACACTTTTACATGGTCAGCTCAAGGCTGAGCTAGGGGCTTTCTGGGAATGAACTGCACTCAAATTCACCTTTGTTTCATTTGAGCAAATATTTCTCAATAGAGTGGCTGGGTGGCACTATAAAATGCAGACAGATTACATAATGCCCAGGCCTAAGGGAACCCCGAAGAGTCTCCTCCACTTCCCAGAGAGTGGACACCTAGCAGGTATCTCAAGGCGGGACAAGATCCCTAGCAGTAAGCCATAACCCCACCTCTAGCCTGGAGGCCACTGCTTCAGGCCCTGATGGCCACACCTCCATATACAGGCCCTGGAGTTAGGGGAGCCACATACCTCCATTAGAGACCCCCACTGATGCCCCCACAAGGCAAAAGCTACACTGAAGGAATTCCCTCATGCCAGGTGAGGAACGGGAAGGACAGGATTATGCCAGCCTGTGAGACACTTCCTCCCATTTTCTTTTTCCCTGTTTTCTAACGGAGAACAAGGTTCTGCCAAAGACTCAACTTGCTCCTCAGATAACCTAGGGCCACACACAGGACTCAGGTGTCCCTCAGAGGTAGCCCCCGGACCTTGGCTGGCCAATGGTAGACAAGGGGCCCCGGGCGGCACTGGAGATTGTCGGGCCTGATTCTTTTCTGACTCTCTCAAACAGACAGACCTCTTGAGCAGCCAGGGAAAGTAGGGGGCCTCTAGTCTCCAGAGTTCGCCTCTCCCAAAGCAGGAAGATCAGCTAGCCACACCATGATTGTGCCCTGGAGGGCCAGGGGAATGTCCTGTCCTTCCTAGAGCAAGTCGCTGTTCCTCTCAACTACTGTCCTTCCTGACAAGTCCTCTGCATTTGGAAGGATGGCAGGAAAAAGAACAGAGCCTAATAACACACACACACACACACACACACACACACACACACACACACAGAGAGAGAGAGAGAGAGAGAGAGAGAGAGAGAGAGAGAGAGAGCGCTAGGTGATAATGCAAAGGCCAGACTTGGGGGCTCCAGAGCCCAGGGAAGGTTACCCACCACCTCTAGGACCTGAAAGCCTCAGTACTGGCCAATCAAATGAAAATCAAGGCCGAGGCCTATGACTCAAGGAAGGTTTACGAACACACACCACCAATTTGAGAGAAAGACTGGGCCGCCTCCGGCAACCCTCAATCCTCCTGGGGACAAAATCTGCAGTTACTGCACCAACATGCCCAGAGCATAGAAAAAAATAGGTGCTTTAAGCACATCAGACCCAAAATTCAGAATAAAAGTCCTCGTGTGCCACAATGTTCTCAGGGGTAGAGGAAGTAGACTTAAGAAGTAGGATGTCTAGGCTAACTTTTTCCCCCCTCCCCATTCTTAGGAGCATGTGTCACAGTCTGTGACACACCACCAAGGGAACATGGATGCCGAAGAAATGTCTACACACGCTACACATTTGTGGCATGCATGTAAGCAACACCCTGTTTCCTGGCTGGGCTTTCTTGGCACAGGTGTGAGCAGGCAGTGAATTCTTCCTTTTCCCATGGTGTTTAGTAAACACCAAGGAGCCTGCCATGGGGGGACGGTACATTCTAGACAAGAAGGGGGCACCTACAAAGATGGGTCCCCAAGCGCCAAGCTAAGGCCCAGCCAGAGCCTGTATTTGAAACTGCCCTTGTTGGAAAACACAAAGCATCCTGTTTAGGCCCTGCCCACCGCCCCCACTCCCCCTCCTCGACCCCACCACAGCTGTCTGTCCCCAGGAGGAAGAAGGCCACCATTTGCAGATTCGATTTCCGAAAGCAACTAGTAAGATCCTCCTTTCTCCATCTCATCCAGCTGACCCGGCCCTGGCCACACAGCAAAAAACTAACAAAACAGGACGCAGCCACAAAACATGCTTACACACGCTCCACAGACAACGCAAGGGCAGGCTGGGCAGCCCAGCTTCTTCTACCCAGAGAACTCGACTACCAGGGCCAGAGTGGATCCTGGACCTCGACCCCCCACCTCCTCCCCCTCCAACCTCCCAACGTGCGAAGGAGGTTTTCAGAAAGGACGGGCACCGGGTTTTTCCTTGCCAGGCCCGGCAGAAAAAAAGAATAAAGGAAGGCTAAAGCAAGCGCAGGAGTTGCTTTCTGGAAATTGTTGGCGCTGGGGGGTTACGGTTTTTAAGGAGGAGAGGGCTACGTTTTGTTTTCCCCTGTAGCTCTGATCCAGATGGGCAACGGGTTCGGTAAAGGAACAACACACCACTACCCTCAGGGCCCAGTCTAAGGTTCACCCCGGGGTCCCAGCCATCCGAAACGCAGGCGCTCAGGCGAAAGTCCCCAAGCACTCAGCCCGGGTGGGCTAAGTGTCCACGACACGAAGAAGGGCTCCCCAGCCTGCCTTAGAGGATCAGGTCTGGAGGTTCCAGCCCAGCTCCGCGCGCAGGCCGGGACTCGGGGGCCGTGCACTCGGGGACAGCCAGCGGGGGCACCTCGGTCCCGGGGGACCCCAGCTTGGGGAGCTCCACGGCCACGCAGGGCCACTCACCGTGGCGGATGCCAAGCTGTTGTCGGCCAGCGTTAGGTGGTGCGGCTCCCAGCGCCTCAGAAATTTGGAGGTGAGGATCTTGCTGAGAAAGGTCCGAGGGTGCCGGATGACACAGACCTGAATGTCGCCCTCCTGCAGCAGCTTGTACCTCATCCCGTTGCACAGCAGCAGGGCCCGGCGGCAAGGCACGGCGCCCATCACCTTAGTGCCCTCGGGGCCCGACACGTCGCTCCCTAGCAGCGGTTTGGTCTCCTCGATCTGCCGGGGGTCGCCGCCGCCCGAACTGCTCGTCACATCCATGGCCGCGCCGGGGCGGGGGCCGCGCGCGCGATCGCGGCTGGCTTGGGGCCGGGCCGGCGGGGCCCCCGCGGAGGGCCCGCACCCCCCCACCGCCGGGAAGGTGGGGGGGCGTGGGCTGGGGGCGCCCCGCGGGGACGAACGGGAGCGCGCGGGGGCGGGCGGAGGCGCGCGGGGCGCTTCCTGGGCTGCTTCCTTCTAGCTGCTGGGGCGCATGCCGGCGCGAACGGGTTGGCGACTGCGGCGCGGGCTACTGGCAATCGCAGGGCGCAGAGAGGATCGGGTCCTCGGGGGGTGGGGGCGGCGCCGGGGACGGCGGGCGCGGGCGTGTCTCTCCCTCGCGCGGGCGCGCTGTGCGGTGCGTGTGTCCGCGTCCGTCCGCTAGTGTGTGCTGCGGGCGGGGGCCGCGCCGGCTGCCGGGGAGATTGCGGGAGGCTGGAGCGCGCGATTGGTCCCCGCGGGGTCATGTGCCCGCCCTCTGACGTCAATGGCGGCAACAGCGGCTTCGGCCTCCCCGCGGCGGGCGGAGTCCGGGATGGGCCGGGCCCCGGGCGGGGACTTGGAGGCGGGCGCGGCCCGACGGGAGCGGCAGCCCCTGGGGAGGGGGCCAGGGCTGGGCGAGCCTCGACAGTCCCCGCGCCGCGCCGCGCCCCGGAATGTGGGCAGTGTGCAGGACAGTCACGCGGGCCGCGCCCCCGAGGGTGCACAGCGGAGCCCTGCGCCCCTGGCCACCCCACCATCCTGGGCTGGGCTTGGGAAATAAAGTCTGCCCCATGACCTAGAGGATGCGGACCAGTGCTTCCACTTCCAATCCAAGGCCGGACTGAAAGCTGGGGTGCTGGCCCGCTGCATCCCTTACATCGCCTCCCCAATTCAAACTGTTTCCCCAAGGATGGCCAGATTGAGCCTTAGGACAATTTCTTAGAGTTGAAATTGTCCCCCGCCCCCTCCCCCACACACACATACACAGAGAAATGCATGGTAGTTTACCATCACAACCACAGCATTCGGACTGAGGCAGGAGGATTGCTGTGAGCTTGAGGCCAGTTTGAGCTACATAGTGAATTTCAGGCCAGTCAAGACAACATGTCTCAAAAAAAATGTCCTTTTTTTAAGTAGAGGAGGGGAGTATCTCAATTGTCAGTAGAGTGTTTGCCTAGCATGCATAAAATCCTAGACTGGCTCCCCAGCACTACATAAACCCACAAGGTGCCATGTGCCTGTAATCCCAGCAATAAGGAAGTGGAGGCAAGAGGATTTGAAATCAAGGTCATCTTTGGCTGTGAGTTCAAGGCCAACCTGTAGTATATATCTAAACACACACACACACACACACACACACACACACACACACAAAAGTTTATATTTCTTTACAAAGGAAATACCTGTCCCTCATCTGAGAATAGTCCCCACTGAAGTCCTCTCCCCTAGTCTTTGATGTCTCCTAGTCTTTGCTTTGGAGTCCTTACTGGGAGACAGCACAAACCCTCAGCATCCTGAACACAGGAACCCTCCTAGGATCTCGGGTAATAAAGCTCCCCCAAAGTGGTCCAAACTCCCTGTGTTCCACCCACAACCCAGGCATCTTCAGAATCTCACACTGAACCTGGACAGCTCTGGTCTTCAGTCCCCCACCTACCTAGGAGAGAAACATATCAAATGAGCCAGTGTGACAGCTCAGAAGCAAAACATGTCCCCTTCTGTCATTGCTGGCAAGGAACACCAGAGCTGTTCCATGGGGCTTCCTCATCGCCAATCTCCTACACATCACACCTCTAACCCTTGCAGCTGGGCTGGGGAGATATAGTAAAATTGCTTGTTACACAAGAATGAAAACCTGAGTTCATATCCCCAGAATGGACAAACACTAGCTCATGTGTCTGTATTACTGGCACTGCTACTGCAAAATGGGAGCAGAGACAAGAAAATCCCCAGAAATTGGAGGGCCAGCTAGCCTGGCCTACACAGTAGCAAAACCTTGTCTCAAACAAGGTGGAAAACAATGACTAACACCCAAAATTGTTCTCTGAGCTCTTCACCAGTGTGACATGCACATGCCTGCATTCACTCATGAATATGCACACAAACATTATTTACACACGCGCTCGCGCACACACACACACACACACACACACACACACACACAAAAGCCAAATTCAAGATTGACTTGACCACTTCCACATTTTGCTCACTCTTCAGGCAGTGCTGGGAGACATGACAAATAGCCTTCTTGTTTCCCTGAGAAAGCACTTAGAAGACTCTGAATCGTATCACTGCCATCTTTTTGGTAATACCTCCCCTTCGCTTTAGACTTGAATTACATGAGATCCTGTCTCAAAAATAATAAGAAGGAAGAGGAGAAGGAAGGAAAGACAGAAGGATAAGACAATGATTGCTTCAGGGTCACCCATTCCTGGCCGTGGGGACAGTGCCAGACACAGGGCTGACTCAGAAGTTGCTATATGAGTTGGCATTTGGTATTCAGTCTAGAATAGAGGAGTCTTTAGACTCCTAGACTGGGACAGGTAAGGCATGATTGAGTCCTTGCCTTACTCTCTCCCAGGTTCCTGACCTAAAACTGAATCTGAATCCAGCCATTTGATGGTATCAGATGCCCCATCCCAGGAGGTCTAGGCCTCAGTAGGAGACAAAGCCCACAGACTTTGCACTGAAGATCATATATCCAAGTTGTCCTCGGTACCATAAGATTCCAGACTCTCCTCAGACAGGAAAGACACCCTGAGAGTCTCCCTTCCAGCGCTGAATTTGAGAGCTGTACAGATAAGAGAAGGAACAGAAAGAAGTGTGTACATTCTCCACTCCACTAAAGACTTTGATGAAGTGGTAAAGTCCCTGCTAGGGAAGGGCACATGAAGCTGGTAGTCAGGTCAGTGTCAATCTCTGCTGGACCTTTGCATAGTTCATGAAATGAATTGTAAATCTGGATGCAGACCAGGCAGGCAGGGTTCCTTCTGGAGAGGCTCACCTTTGTGTCCAAGTCAAACATGACAGCTTGCTGAAATAAAAGAAAGCCCTGGTTCACAGCATGCCAACTCCCTTGGTGTAAATATTCCCACTGAGACTCATTAGGAGCTATTGAGTTCATTGCTGAACAGGAAGTTCAGCATAGATGCACCCCAGAGCCAGGTACAATGGTACAGGTCTGGAGTCTCAGCTAATTGGAACAAACAAAACGACTATAACATTTGGGGCTGCAGGAATGGCTTGGCAATTAAGAGCACATACTGCTCTCGATGAGCATAAGAGCTCCATTCCCAGCACCTACCTCAGAAGGTCTACAACCACCTGTAACTCCAGACATCTGATGCCTCTGGTCTCTGAGGGTACCTGGACCAATAAGCACACATCCCACACACAGACACACATACATACATATTTTTTTTGGTTTGTTTTTTGTTTTTGTTTTGTTTTTCCGGATAGGTTTCTCTGTATTGCTTTGGAGCCTGTCTTGGAAATAGCTCTGTAGACCAAGCTGGCCTTGAACTCACAGAGCTCTGCCTGCCTCTGCCTCCTGAGTACTGGGATTAAAGGCATGTGCCACCAATGACTGGTGCATACACATGATTTTTAAAAATAAGAATGTATCTAAACAGACTATAGCATTAACTATTGATTTATAGAACATAATCTTTTATTACATGTATTTTGTAGGGTGCATGTATGTGTGGGTGCATTATGTCATGGTACACTATAGAGGCCAGAGGGTAACTTGTTTGAGACATTTTCCCCTTTCAGTATATGGATTCTGGGGGGAATCGGGCTTGGTAGCAAGCATTGATCCATCTTGGTAACATAATCTTTTTATTTAAAAAGATTTACGTATTCATTTTGTATTTGTATGGGTGTTTCTCAGGGTGTGTCTGTGCACCACATTTGTGTAGTACCTATGAAGACTAGAAAAGGGTTGTGATCCCTTTAGACTGTAGTTACAGACAGTTGTGAGATATCATGTGGATGCTGGGAATCAAACTCAGGTCTCCCGGAAGAATAGTGTTTTAAATGCTGATCCCTATCTCTAGTTCCCTACATAACCTTTTTTAAATAACTGTGTTGACAGCCAGCTTGTAAAGTTTCCATGTATGGATGGCCAAACCACATGAATTAGTTGAGATCAGCCTAGCACATGGTTGCACACCTGTTTAGGGCCTGGTATAAAGCAAGGGTCCAGGAGTTATCTATGGGATAGATGGGTCTCTTACTGCTTCATCCATCTTCTAACACATCAGTTTCTTCTACCATCCATCAACCTAACACTTCACTGTGTTAGGTTTGCCTGCCTCTTTCACTCATTCATTCATTCATTTGACTTTATTAGATTCCTGTTTTTGTTGGGCTTTGCTTTTGAGACAAGGTCTCATATCCTACCTAGCCCGGCCTCAAACTCACTGAGTCCTTTTTCCACCTCCCAAGTGCTGGGATTACAGGTGTATGTCACTATGCTGGCTTACATGATGTGAATCAAACCTGAAACTTCATGAATGTTGAGCTATCACTAGACACATTTCCTTTTTTAAATAATTTATGTAACTTTATTTTATGTGCATTGGTGTGAAGGTATCAGATCATCTGGAACTGGAGTTATAGACACTTGTGAGCTATCATGTGGATGCTGGGAATTGAACCCAGGTCCTCTAGAAAAACAGCCAGTGCTCTTAACCACTACACCATCTCTCCAGCCCCCTAGGCACTTATTTCTTATAGCTTACTTGAATGCCAGCAACTTTTTCAGGTGTCATAAATGTAACTCATCATGCTGCCCCCATCAAGTTCACAGTTATGTAGAGAAACCAGACCCAAAGGAACATCCCTTGAAATGAGTCTTCCAAAAAGAAACCAAATCCTTGCCCTTCCTGGATCCTGCCAAGTGTCCTTGGCTGATGAACCATAAAGTGGGGTGGTCACAGCACCTTCCTTCTGGTTACAGAAACTCCATGTGACCCCACATCAAGTTCATGGTGTTTTCAATAAGAACTACCTCCTTGTTTTGATGCATTTTTTACACATGTCTATTTGTATGTGCATATGGACATATGCACGCTACCATGTGGGCTCTGGAACTCAAACTCAGGCCATCAAGCTTGGCGGCAAGTGCTTTTTACTCAGTGTGTCATATCACAACACCCCCCCACACCTCCACTTTTGTTTTAGAAGCCATGTTAACCCAGCTCTTAGAATGTCCGTTATCTAGCCCAATTTTCTGAATCCATGTTTCTACCTCTACCTGGGGTTGGGACTGTCTAGACGCAGCATCTGCGTAGTGCTAAGGCAGATTCTGATCATTCTGAACATTTAGGACAGATCTTTCTTGGTGATAGGCAGGCAACGGACTGCCCTGTTTCACTGCACCCATGGCTTCCACCTCTTGAATACTAC